TGGCATTGCGTAACTTAAATTAAAGAATAAAGAGATTTAATAGATTAATAAATAAAATTAAGTATTCTTTTTTCCCTTATGTAGTAGTGCTTTATATAAAATCTAAATCTAAATTAATATCACTTCGGAAATACGTTATAGAATATTCAAATATCAGAAAAAGTATATACTTATTTTAAATTAAAATATATTGCTTTTAAATAAAAACATAATTTAATCAAAGTTCTTTCTTTAATCTTCTTAAAGATCAAATAAAGATAAACAAATAGGAAAGTAGTATATATACACTATACCAGATATACACACACCTACACCCGTTAGGACTACTAATCTACTAATATTACTGCTAGAATCAAATTCGATTAAATCATGAAATCTTTAAACAAGAATTATTTATAACTATTTTAAAAGGAAAAAAATAAAATATGATTATCATTACAATCATTTGGTTTAAATATATGAAATGCAGTCTTAGAAATAAAATTCTCAGTAAAAACGTACGATTTTGTTTTCTTTAGAAGTCTATGCCTCTAGGCTCAGTACGTAGTACATGCATATGCCCTTTTGTATAAAAGGCAGAGAAAAGTAGGATATAAAGCAATAATTTTGTCCAAAATATTGGAAATAAATTGGCTTGCAATGGCTTCTTTATGGTCACTACAAACCCTTGCTTTGCCTCCATCCACAGCCTTCCATTCAAAAGGCCAGAACAGACTTGCTACAAAATGCTTCATTTACTCCAAATGAAGCATGGCCAATGCATGCCCTGGACAAATCCTTCTTCCTGCACCAAATGGCATGATTTTAATCTCTTTATTCCCATCATTTTCATCTCTTAGAAACCTTTCAGGCTTGAATGCCATTGGATCTTCTCACACCTTGGGGTCCAATCCCATATCGCCTACAATCAAATTCACTGTTCCATATTGTGGCACAACATAACCATCCATGATAGTATCTTCTGAGTTCTGTAACTGCATGTGGCAACAAAAAAGAACGCGGAGGATGTCGCCTTAAACCTTGTATAAGATCACTGCTTTAAGATATAACATCTTTTGCAAATCATCTTCCTTCACGACATCCTCCCCGTCTCCTATAACCCCTTTAATCTCCATTAACAATTTCTCTTGATTATGTAGATGCTTTACCAAATTTGTCAAATCCATTGCAACGTTAAGATTGTACTATGGGTGCCACCATTAATAAATTCTGAGCATATATGAAGGTTCCTACTCTCCTCTGGCAACTACAGACCCAACAATTTGTCAATATATGATAAGCGTAAGGCAGGATTATCATTAATCGGTTTCCCAGCTTTCTTTAGCCGCTCTTTTATTAATGGGATAAATTTATTTATTTTTTGTGGCTGTCCTCCAGCTTCTAACATTTCGTCTCACAGCCTACAGTTATCATAACACGATCTTTGCCGCTCTTGGTCAAATAGAAATCATATAGGTTAAGATA